CTGTTATTCACAAGTTTACCTTCTTCAGATCTCAGTACATTGTTCTAACTATCCATTGTCTCAGGTTTAACTTCTTCATGTCTCAGTACATTGTTCTAACTATCCACTGTCTCAGGTTTAATTCCTTTAGATCTCAGTACATAGTTCTAACTATCCACTGTCTCAAGTTTAACTTCTTCAGATCTCAGTACATAGTTCTAACTATCCATTGTCTCAGGTTTAACTTCTTCATGTCTCAGTACATTGTTCTAACTATCCACTGTCTCAGGTTTAATTCCTTTAGATCTCAGTACATAGTTCTAACTATCCACTGTCTCAAGTTTAACTTCTTCAGATCTCTGTATATAGTTCTAACTATCCACTGTCTCAGGTTTAACTTCTTCAGATCTCAGTACATAGTTCTAACTATCCACTATATCAGGTTTAACTTCTTCAGATCTCAGTACATAGTTCTAGCTATTCACTGTCTCAGGTTTAACTTCTTCAGATCTCAGTATATAGTTCTAACTATCCACTGTCTCAAGTTTAACTTCTTCAGATCTCAGTATATAGTTCTAACTATCCACTGTCTATTACATATGCTAAATGTATGCTGTCAACAATGGTACAAGGACATAATATTTGATCCAATTATTTAATGCAGCAAGTACCCAGTTTCTTTACTATTAGCACAGAACATACACTTCATAAAACTTGCCAATATTTAGGCATTCGGCAACATTTTTTTATTATTTAAATTAATCTTAGAATTACTGATTGGGTTCAAGTACAATGGCTTTTTTTTAACTGTTTAAGCACCAGATTGTTCTTGACTATGAATTACAGAGTCCCAGATAACAAGTCACACAACCAAAAACATTTTTTAAATGCCATGAATATTGTGAACAATAATTACTGTTAGGATAATCTATGTATTTACATAGAAAATGAGTGATTTCACTCAATTTGGTCAACTCTTTACAATGAGAGTTTACAATAGACAAAAAAACATTTCTCAATATGATGCAGTACGTTGACCTTGCAAGTAATGAGCAGTATAAAAACAAGTCGGTAATCTGAGGGATAATACCAGCATTTCTTTTAGACCAAAACTTCTCTACACCTACAACAAAATATTATACAATACTTGGTGCTACTATAGCGTGAGGTCTACCGCCATATGTCGCCTATAGCGTGAGGTCTACCGCTGCATTATCCATCCCTCATGGATATCACACATTTCCATACATTTATTTTAGCGATAAACACTTAATTTGATACATTTTTTATACATGTTTGATAGACCTGGGTAGGCGACATATGGCGGTAGGCCTCACGCTATAGAAGCACCCAATACTTTAGCACAGTCACATCCATGAAATTTTAATCAGTCAAAACTTTTATAACTCAAAGCAATAAATAAAAAATGATTCTGTTAACAGAACAGATGAAAATTGTGTCTTTAAACAACAGAGATTGTGGAAGAAAAATTTGTGACTCTTGGCAATAAACGAAAAGTATACTATGTCATAAAATCCCATCTTTGAAAAAAAAGTTCATTCTAGATATTGAATAAAACCTTATGTAAATTGAAATGCGTAAGAGTTGTTTCCTCCTCTGTGTAAAAATAATTCTATATAAAACATATAAACATATGTTTCCTACACCTATATCGAATCTTAAACAATCTCAATAACACCATTACATGTCGCTAAGACCTTCGGAATCTTTTACATCATCGGTCTCTTTCTGACATCTTCTGAGTTGATTCCAGTGTCGAGGCCGAGCTCCCCCTACTGTGCCATTTTCTGAAGAGTCATTTGTTCTACTTTGACTGCCGTTACTACCTACATTTTTTCTTCGGGAAGAAGTTTTATCCTCCGTATTAAAGTGGTTCAAGTTCTGGGTAATATAACCTATGTGTGGAGTTGCCCCAGATGCACAGTTGTTTTCTAAGTACGTGGCTATGTCCATTCTTTCTCTCACATCAGGCACGTCGAGAAGTTCTTTGTGTTGTCTTCTGGAGTAATTACTTGTCACATCTCTTCTCATTTTACTACTTTCTGGCTTATGTGACGCGTTTACTGTTGTATGACAAGATGTACTAGGTTCCCGAGATCTAGGAGCCAAACAACATTGAAAACTAGAAGGGAGAGGAACATCCAATTGTTGCAATGGAAGATGGTGCCTTGTTGAAGCTTCTGCTGCTTTGCTAACTTTTTCTGGAGAAACGTCGAAACTTGAAACCGGGTCATCTTCAATAGTGTGTTTTGATATGTGGGAAGCGGCTTTATGAAGAACAAACTTCCTTTCTCCAGTTTCTGAACACACTGATCCAGATCGAGAGAGTTTACTGGCCTGAAACATACCTTGTGCAGGCGATACAACATTCTGGTGAGATGTATGTGCTACATCAAAACTGGACTGTAGGTTATTGGAGGAAGGTACTCTAGATTCCAGAGGAAGCTGGTTGACAATGGCATTTGTACTACAGCGAACAGCTATCACTGTAGGAGAGACAGGTTCGAACCTTTTATGGAAAGTAGTATCATTCAATTCAGGTGACACACTACCCATATTATACGTTGAATATTTTGTTTTTGAAGCAGTACACAAATTGTTTGGATGAACACTAGGATCTTTCCTCGGACACTGTGCTAGCGATGCCACAATTTCTTGGCCATCAATACCTCTACTGACCAAAGACCTGCTATCCGTAACGTGGGGATTAACTGCTTCAGGGGAAGCACCGACACATATGCATTCAGAATCTTGGAAAATAGGATTTATCTTAACAGGGCTTCCGACAGTGAATGAGCTGAAGTTTGAGTCTGGTGGAAATTCTCTTGCTTCCAGTGAAGTTCTCTTCAAATAAGAAGCTTGTTCGGAACTTTTTCCTTTTCCACGTTTTCTGTTCTTCTTCTTTTTGTTTTTTCTGTTCAAAGAAAATCGTCTTAGATGTTGTATTGTTCGATCAACTGAACTAAATTTTTTTGCCGTTGAACCAGAAACTTGGGAAGGTTCTTGGTTAGAGCTTTTGTGTGGATTGGACACATTCTGTTTAAGTCCTCCATTAGGATCAAAGTCCACATCCATTGAACTTGAATCACTACTTGATGGACTAAAAGTCCGTTGTTCATAAGTTGGACTAGAACTGGAGGATGTTTCACTGACTTCTCCATTCCAAGTAGTAGGGTCTGGGTAGATGTTATTGTTATCACCAGCACTCACGGGCTGAAGGCTAAGCCTTTTGTTCTCATTTCCTTGCATTCGCTGCAGTCTGTGTTGCCAGTATTCAATTATGTCATTGTAAGAGTGCCGGCTGCCTTGGGGAACACTTTCTCTTTCTTCTGGTTGCTGATGGCTAGTAACAGCTGACGCAGGTACACTTTGCTCATTTCGAAATTCTTCCTTTTCTACAGCTGCAGGATTCATAAGTATATTACCATTGGTGATGTCTTCGTCTCTCAAAGCTGCATCAAATGAGGTCTGTCTGTCTCTAATGTGCAAAACAGTTACATTATCTGGCATATAAATGGGAATATCTTCATAACGAACATCTGATCTGATGGCAGTGTTCCCAAGACTTACGGATGATGTTTCTTTGCCTTCATTTTCACAAGTTACATTAACACTAGAAAGAACAGGCTGGGATGGACTGCTGGTTTCATCTGAGGGTCTTTTGTCACTCTGAGACTCACAAGAACTGTCCTCTGAAATAGGAGTTTCTGTTGCTTCTTGAACGGGAGAAGAAGAGCAATGTGGGGGGAGAGTAACATCTACCTGTGAAGTCCTTCTGTAAGGTGACAAAGAAATAACAGAATATGGAGCTTCCACATTCTCCACTGAAGCCTCGTAAGGAGGAGGGGCTTCTCCTGGTGGAATATACGTCTCTGGAGGTTTCCAAAAAGCATATGGTGGGGACGGATCATCGAAAGGCCCCAATTCAGCATGGTCACGACCCATGAAATACCCCATACCAGCATCATCACCATCAAGAGAAAACCTTTGGGACAACTGAGATTCACTCATATTTCCTCCCCTGCTGTGAAAACCTATAAAATAAAACATGCCTCATGAGGAACAATAATAGTCATAAAAATTATAATATTAAATTTTAGTTTCAACCTCTGGAAAGCTAGAAATACTTCGCAGTTATGAATATTTTATTTTACAAATTAATTATTTCTAAAACGATTTATTTGAGATATGGTATTAATGTGAACAATGGTGATTCAAGTTATTTAAACATTTTTGCTAATTTAGTTGTATTATAAAAAGGACTTTTAGACCCTGCTAGGCCTAGTACATAGAACATACTTAGTTTTTCTTGCTATTCTGATTCAATGGATTCAAAATACCCAAGGTATATCAAAATGAGCTCTGTACGTGTATCTTAATATACAAAACAAAATATGTAGGGATTTCAAAGTATCTGTCAATAAAATGAGTGAGAAACATGACACTCACGTCTGATCATCAACAGGAGTCGACGTCGACGAAGTCGATTGATCATAAACAGAAGCAGGGCTAAGATAAGCAATGAAGTGACAGCACCTGCCACTAAACGTAGACCCAGGTTAGTGGCATTTAATGTTGTAGAACCTGTAAAAGGAAATTAACTCATTAATATATGATTTGTCACAACTTTCTGAAAAACAAAACTATACTTGCTATGATAAACAGTTTACCATTACAACTGTATTTGTTATACATGTATAAAGTCTATGACATACAAAATTACCAAGCACGATATTCTTGGTCGCATACGAACAGGAAATGGAAGAGGAGTCTGCGATTTCTGCAGAGTTAATCTATTGAATACTACGAGTTTCTAACAAAAAGGAAAATTATTTTAGAACAGTAAGGTCAACAAGAGAAGTTAATCTATTGAATACTATGAGTTTCTAACAAAACTGAAAAATTATTTTAGAACAGTAAGGTCAACAAGAGAAGTTAATCTATTGAATACTACGAGTTTCTAACAAAAAGGAAAATTATTTTAGAACAGTAAGGTCAACAAGAGAAGTTAATCTATTGAATACTACGAGTTTCTAACAAAAAATAAAATTATTTTAGAACAGTAAGGTCAACAAGAGAAGTTAATCTATTGAATACTACGAGTTTCTAACAAAAAAGAAAATTATTTTAGAACAGTAAGGTCAACAAGAGAAGTTAATCTATTGAATACTACGAGTTTCTAACAA